GTATTTTATTCTAATCTTTGATTATACTAAGATTTTTCAATAGTGAATCACAGTGAACTTTGAACAAATACCCGTTTTATAGAGTTCCACTGAAGAAAATGAAGATTTCCATTCAAATTTAACATGGGTCGAGCCAGTTATTCTCATTTGTCAATAAAATAATTATCTGGAATTGGAGAGGGGTTTTGTAAATATTATCGTAATTTAATAGTTAAATTTATGAGTCAGTTGAAAGTATACCACCATGGAAAACCTGGAAGCACTGGACAGCTGTTTCGTCCTAGTATGTGACTCCTCAGCAGCGCGCATCCACGATCCCGCCCCGTGGGATTCGAAGCCAGGACCTAATGGTCTCCAAGAGGTTTTACCTGTGGTTCTGATGGGAAGCCGTAACCAGTAGGGTTCAACTGGGCTGTGAGATAGTAACTCACTGAAGACAATGGTGAACGATGGCGCGATTTCGTGGATTGGTTGAAGTTAGACAGTAACATCGTTGGATGCCGGCCAGCTCAGTGGTCTAGTGGTTAAGCGCTCACTCGCGAGACCGATAGATCCTGGGTTCGAATCTCGCGGCGAGGGGCGGGATCGTGGTTGCGCATTGCTGATGAGTCCCATACTAGGATGAAACGGCCTTCCATTGCTAGCTTCAATTCACTCATGAATTGAGCTATTAAATTATCCGAAAGTTAAAATTCATTACAAATTACATATAGAATCATCAATGATGGAAAAGATTTACAGTTGGAATGAAATATTTCAATGAAATTGCATTCTCTCTATTGAATGGTTTAATTAGAAAATTGTTGTTTTTTCTTTCTTTCTACTAGTTAATGGAGTTATCAATATAAACTATCAGATATGAATTCAATAGCTTAAAGGTAATATAATGCTTTAGGGCAATTTATTAATCATATATATTCTAAACTAATCGAATTAAATTAAGTGTCATAAAACAAAAACACAAACAAAATTCTTACTGAATATTGGAAACTGATTATGATGTGAGCTTAAACTGTTGTCATGACTGTTGTTATGACTTTTGAGTAGTATATATATATATATATATATATGATTAATCCTTACTTTGGAAAATATTTGCATAATCTAATTAATCTAGAAACAGAGATGACTAAAATTCTAACATCTAGTTTAAAATGGGTTTTTTTGTTGTTGTTGTTTCCAGCTGATTTAAAATAAATTAGAATAGTTTGAATAAACAAATATTTGATCCCGAATTGATATTTATCATGTAACTAAGCAAATAATATTAATTAAATTAATTAAATAGTTTGAAATATATAGACCTTAAATATTATTTAAGAATGATCTAAAATGTGTTAAGTTTTTTTTTGGTGTAAGGTCAGAATTTTCAATACAAATGTTCAGACAGTTCTACTGTATAGGGTGGAAAAATTGAAGAACCACCAATGCCATCATCCAGAAGATACAAGTGTTTATTAACAGTTGTCTATGCAAGACACTATCAATAACAATGTATTGTGGAAGAGAACAAACCAGATTCCAGTAAAGGAAGAAATCAGGAAGAAGTGCTCAAAGTGGAATAGGTCATACATTGAGGAAAGCACTTAACTGCGTCACGAGGCAAGCCCTAACTTGGAGTCCTCAAGGTTAATGGAGGAGAGTAAAAACAAAGAACATATTACACCGAGAAATGTTGACATACATTAGAAGAATGAACAAGGATTGGATAGAACTAGAAAGGAGGGCCCGGGATAGATTGGGTTGGAGAATGGTGGTCGGCGGCCAATGCTCCATTAGGAGTAAGTAAGTAATTTGAGTATTAAATAAGAAAGATTAGTTCAAAAAATAGTTCTCTTTTCGGCAAATTCATTTTCAAAGCTGTACAATCGCATATATATATACTTATTTTGGAGGATGACATTAATTATAATAATACTGATAATAAACTTCTGTTAGACATGGTGATAGCGAGGTAAAATAAACTAAATTATTTTTAAAAAATTTTAAACAAGGAAAACTTAATAATCGTTTGATTGTTAATAGCTTAAGTATTCATCAAAACATAAGGAAATTATCCTTGGGAAGAATGGCTCAGCTTCATAAGATAAAATGTTGAAATTGAGATTAAATGTAATCTGGAGGATCGTAGAAACAGAAATAAACCAGTTGGGAGTAGAAGATTTAAGGGGAAGATGGAAGGTGAAGCAGATGGCTATAAGGGAAGAAAAAGAAGAAAAAAATTACGAGACATTAAGACCATGGTAGAAGAAGAGGTTGTACCAATATCTTTTGCACACACAACTCTGGTTTTTTCCAGATGTATGGCTATTGCTTCGGCACTGCAAAGAAGATGCAATCTAATTGTCTTTAGAAGACTTCTACTTACCTTGTAGATAACTTTGAACGCGGGGTCTATCTTGATTGAGCCGTTTTATCATCTTCTTAGCCACGCCGGATAATGTTATTGAATTCTTTTGGATAAATTACGCATCGAACGACCTATATATCTAGCTCCACATGAGCAGGTAAATTGGTAAATGCACATCGAATTGGTAAGATGAGATAATTTATCCTAAGGATTATTGATGAACAATGATCGACTGGAAAATAATATTCGCAACGTTGTTGCGAAGAGTGCTCTTTTTAAAGAATCAGAAATTCTCCTCTTTAAGAAGTATGTGGCTGTCACCCATAAAGTCAATATTCATGTATAATGTTTTCTTTTCTGCTGAAATTATTTATGTTTTCAGCGGCTTCGGTTTTGTTCTTATCAATGAATATAGAAGGATACCCGTTTTTTAAAAGTATCTTCTTCAAGAGGCCCAATTCTTCATCTATGACCTCGTGGCTACAAATTCTTCGTATCATGGACGGATTGTGGCCAATAACCACAAAGCATAGAACAGTTGCTTCGTCTTTGTATGGAACTTCTGGCCGTAGTTACTTGTGACCATGTTAGAAATTGAGTAAAGTAGCTATTCGATTCTTATCAACACTTATTTTTCCTTCTCAGTATTCATTTGCTATCCAATGAATTACATTTCAAATTTTAGTCAGTTCATATTTTTGCTTGGCCGTCATTCATTATGACAGTTATTACCTGTCCTATTCTTGATATGTGAAAATTATAATAATTTCTAACAAGCATGCATTTTCATGAATAACTCTGATATTAAGGAGTGAATGGAGGTCTGTCTTATTGATTCATAATCCTTAAAATTACCTATTCTTGATACTAAACGAACGTGAATAAAAAGCTGTTTTAATTATCCTGATAGTATGGTATAGTTTATTTGATAAATTAGGACTAAATGAGTACAATGACTCATTTATAGTCAGTATTTCTGGAGTATTGGACATACTGCTACTCATACGATAAAGGTTATAAGTGATGGGAAATGAGATAATTTATTATCACTGATAGTATTTGTCTGTTATCGTTTACGATCATCCCATTTTATGCTGTAACGTCTGTATCCTGTTAGATAATTAATTGCACTTGTTCAATATTGATTAGTTTTGGTAAAGGATAGATACAAATTTATGTTTTGAGCTCTAGTATTTTTGATTCAATCACAATTATCGTGGGATCATAATGACAGAAAGTATTTGTTGGCTAATTTATGTTAAAACATTCTGTTCAAGTCTATCGTATATTGTCTAAGTATAAATAAATATTGCCGACAATTCAGGATAAACTAGAATAAATGGATGGTTAGATAACGATTTTGTCGCTTACACCTAGGAGATAAGCGCCTTTAGCTCGACTTTGTATGAAGACTAGGAATCCGTACCATTGTGAATTCCCTAGTTTGGGCAAAGAAAGTGATTTTTATGATATCAATCTGGAGTGACTTATCTGTTCATCAGCCAAATACGACAGCAGTCATATTATGCTGGTAGTCGATGAAAATTGCAAAACATGAATCAGTTGATTTACAGGTGCCATGACGTGTGAACTTCGAAGTCCTAGTTTCAGTCTCTTGAAAAATCATGAGTTCACACTATTAAGAATTCCTGAACGTGGACAAAGTATTATAAACAAAGATGGATAGTGGTTAGCAGTGGAATCCATGACTCACGTTTCACCCTATTTCGGACTCGTCAGCTGAATGTACCTGCATTTCAAAGTTGATGTTCACTTTTAGACTCGAACCCAATAAGAGACTGATCAATTACAGTTCTAAGCATCAACAGAAAGATCCAACTAAACAATACCAAGTGGATGAGGTAATTTTCCAAGACTTTCTTATTCTATATAATTCACCAATGTATGACAAAAAACATTTTATGGATGTCCTGCTCTCCCTCTCGAAATGCTCTCACATGCCCATGCGTATATATCTTGTCAGGGAAGACCTACTCTCTGTCTTCTCGTGGCGGGGGTGTTGTTTACGAAATTGAGAGGACGTAAAGCGAAATTCTTGCGCTTTAACCAGGTCAATGGACATGGAGAATCCACCTAGAGGAGTTGGAAATCCCTGATTCCAAACCAATGGTGCACATGGGCCCAAGTATCCTGAAGGAACAAATTGTGTATAAACTAATCGTTGGTCACCGTCTACCATGGGACTACATCTCCTTGCGATGCTCCATTGTCTTGTGGTTCAGACCTTTAGGTCGAAAGCTCCGGAAGTGGTCCCCTAAGAAAACCACCCGGACAGTATAACAGCCCTCACACAAATCAAATGAGATTTATGTGGTACATATGTATCTGGTGCCAACTTGTACCAATATTTATGTGCTGAAATAAATAAATGTTAGACACTATCACCACTGGATGCCAACTCAGTGTTCCAGTAGGTTAAGCGTTCGCGCGCGAGACCGAAGGCCCTGGGTTCGAATCCCGCGAGCGGGATCGTGGATCCGCACTGTTTATGAGTCTCACAATAAGACGAAACGGCCGTCCAGTGCTTCCAGGTTTTGAAAGGTGGTCTAACATCAATCGGTTCATGATCTCAATCAAAATAGTAAAATATTGTAATTTACATTGCATTTTCAATATAGAAAAACTAGAGTTAGGGATATATGTATATTTATATATGTATTATTATACTTTGAGTGAATTTCCTCTCTCTCTCTAAAAATAATAATACTAAATAAATTTTTTATTTTATTATTTTAGTTCCATATTAAAAGCTAAAGGAAACATAAAATCAAATACTATTTATGATCAATTATAGGAACATGATTTTTTTTAAAAAAAAGAACAAAGTGAATTACAAAGGTAAAATAATAAATGAGAAGAATAAATGTAAAGTAATAACAATACCACATATGCATAGTATGAATCGAATATGATAAGTTATAATAAAGATATACTACTATTACTACTACTACTAATTGAAATGATAGTTGAACTGGTTCAGAAGAAGAACTGATCCGTTTTATAACAATCTTATATGATGGTTATTTTCCAGTTTACATTATATATATATATATATTCTATATATCCCTTACTGTAACGAATATTTAGCTAAAGCATAACTTTTAAAAAAAGTTATTTTCTTTTCAATATTTTGTCATGTTGTTATGTCCTGTTGTGTGCGCCAAATACAAGTTGAACGGTACTTAAAATAGTAATGATAGTAATATATATATAAGTAGTACAATTACTAGTCTTAAAAATACAGTATACAATGTTACAGTAGATCTTCTCTTTTTTATCCCGTAATGGTTATAAACAAACATGTATATGTATTTATAAATGCGCACAAGTCAACTATAAAGAAACAAATATATACCATTTGAATTATTTAGCGAGCAAAGCCAAGAAAAATCAATCATCAGGTCACTCTTTCATCCGAGAAAAAGGAAGTCATACACTTGAACACATTAAAATGAAAAAAAATAATATAACAAACTGATTATTATTATTAATATTAATATTATTATTATTAAGATTGATTGTTTTTCTTTATGTTGTATTCTCTTCAGGGACTTGTTGTGAAAGTCGACTAATAAAATGTGTTTTACCCAATGGTCGATCATAATCTTCCATTGACATTCGACGATTTAATTGCATTGGTGTTTTTTGTAATTTTAAATTGCTTACTAAATAAAACAAAATGAGAATGACATTAGTTGACTAGTAGAAAAGTGATGATTATTTAACCATAAAGGTTATGTAAAGTGAGTAAATCTTATGAATAAAACACATGAACGAAATTTCTCTAGTTATTGCTCCTATTTAAACGATAAATATTTGTCAAAACAGTAATGATACAATCTTGATAAATAGATGACCCGATTTATGGTATATTTCTATGCCAATACAGAGGGTTTGTGGAAACTGTTGGGTAGTTATAAACCTGAGGGTTTCGGGTTCGATTAGCAGCAAGGTCGTGAATGAGCCCTATTCTGGGGTTAGACGACCATCTAATAGTTGTCTAACTAAGGTCAGTTTATGATAAAAACTAGCTTATATTTATGCACACCATTCAACTCGTTTGATAAATAAATAGAATCATAATATCCAAACTGTAGAAGTTGCTTCACTTTCACAATAGTCATGGTAACTATTTGTTTCATTTTAGTGTTAAAGTCAGTAACATTTATGCTAAATCATATCAGATAGATTATGTCACTTACAAATATTACAAACCATGAATTTGTTTTGAAAATAACCTCACTTTAGGTATGACATATATAAATGAAACGACAATAAACTGACGACTAAATCATAGGTATATTTCCAGATACTAGCCAAAAGTTTCGACTCGACAATTTGTGAAGACTGTTAAAGACTTAGCAATGAGATTTAATGACAACTCCTTTTATGACCGACATTAAGTTCTTCTAGTCTCTTAATCTGCATACTACCTTTAGGTCACTTGGACAAGGTTCAAACAGAGTCTATTTTTGCAATATTATGGAGCAATTATTTAGCATAATTGTTGATATCTATCTCACCCGCTAATATGATTGCAGGAACAAAAATTTTCCGGATCTCTGTGATGTTAATTCACAGAGAAATTTGAACGACCAAAACGTATTTATTTTATCAGCAACAAGAAGGTCTATACTTCCCAATACGGTACAGACAAACAGTATTTTTATCTGCTTTTCTTTAGCCTTTTTTCATCCTGCACGATTACTATACAACACGTCAAGCGTTATGAAGTTAATCACTAACAACTAACATGGATACCTATTACTAAATGGTTTGAATTATCTGACATTCAAACATAGTTCACATAATGTCAAGCCACTTATACAAACGTTTACATTACAGCTTGATAAAAAGAATTTGATAAGGATTACGAGCTAAATAGTTATGAAGTTGGTTTCTACTCGGCAATTATTTAGCAAAATTATCTGGTTATGTTATAAGTGAATTTTCACTTCAGTCACTTCTGTTTATCTTTATTCGTAAATTTAGAATTCTAGGCGAAACTAAACTGTGATAAAATGGCTCTGAAGAGAAAATCATTACAGTATTCGCATATGGCAACAAAGGTTGATTATATTGAAACTTGAATGTTAACAGAGAGATATTTTAAACTCTTGTTAATAACGATAGGAAAATTATTAAAAATGAATGAACCGTGAATGACTGTTTCGTTCTAATTTAAAACTCCTTAACGATTAGCATCTAGAGTCTTAAAAGATATTATGATTAGGATATTTAGCTCTTTAGTTGAGGACGGTACTATTAAATCTGTGAGTTACGACAGAAAAGACAGATATATATCAGTTCGATTTGTATAAAATTGTTCACGGCTTTCCAACATCCAATATTTACCACCGAAATTTCTAAGTTTAAATGAAAACATTTATCGACTTTCTATATTCCCGTATAGTCAAACTCTGCATTCATCTACCTTATCGAGACACATCTACATATTTATATGTGTGACTTACATAATCCGATTCCTTGTAAAAAGTACTGCATACTGTCGACCACCTTATCCGGCTAAAGTTTTAAACGTAAACAGAAAGAAAAAAATCAGAAAAAATGATTGCATGGATACATAACTCTACTTAGTAGTCAATACGTTTATATATATATATATGTATATATATATATATCAAATGACTGGATGCATTTTGTTATTAGCTTTAAAGTATTTGCGGTCACTTATATACATATGTAGTCTAAGAAGTTGAATTTGTCCGTTTCATCTAATTCATTTCTCTCAAACAATTTGAACAGGTGAAAAGACGATAACGTTTTCAGAATACTAGATATTACATAGTTTTCTTCCCCATTGAAAGCTTAGAGTACTTTTTTCTTTCTATTTGTTAGCAACTTATCGTCGGCCGGATGTACATGCACTGTAGTACTTTTGTTCGTACTGTAGCCTGAAACCAGTGCCTAACAAAATGGAATGTGCTTTCTCGATGACATAACAAGTAGCACTCTAAAAATACACAAGCATTTTATTCATAATCCGAATAAATATAGTGTATACTGATTTACAAGAACTACATTTTATATTACGCGCATTCACCAATGTAAAACTTTATCACCTTCCAGTTGTTCAGTAGTAAAACCACATTAAAATATTTGTTTTTAGAATGTATACTTTGATAAAGTCAGTTGATAATTACATTCAATAAGAAACAATAATGAATTATAAATTTAACAGTTCTATATTGTTTACTTGAATAATCAATAAATATTACTGATACATATAGACTTACTCTTTCAGTCAGAACATTTGATACATCATCAATCATTACAAATTCACTTGAAGCTGATTGACCACCAGAATCACGACGTATTTTTTCAAGATCTTCAAATAATTGGCGACATTTTTTATGATGTGAAGCTAAAGCTCCTGTGATCAATAATACAGGACATCTGAAATATGAAACAATAAAATGAACATTGAAACAATCTTATAGAAAAATGAGAATACACTTTTTTTAAAGTACAATCATGTGATTCTAATTTTATTAGTTCTAACAATAGAATGATAAATAGAGAGAAAACTTTTAAATGTAGATAACCGTATGTCGTAATGAAGATAAATACATAAATTGGTTACTTAATTCCTAGTTAATTGGAATGATTAAAGGTTGCTAATAAGACGGCAACTGACCAGTTATAATTCAATCAAGATGAAAATAACAGCAAACCGTATTATACTTTTATTTCTTTCAGTGGTTTATTCTTATTACATTAACGTCAACAATGAGCACAAGAAAATTTCTCCAACGTTATTAAGTGATAAAAGCTGTACCAAAGGTGTAATAATCTGATATTCGTCACAACATCTAAAGGACCTGGATTTGACTGTGGGTGGGGTCAATGGTTCTCAGTAAATTCCAGACTGGGATAAGACAGCTACCCATTCAGTCAGTTAGCAATAATGTAGAACTTCGTATGTACGTATATCGGTTCATTTTGTCTTATAAGACAGCTATCCAATAGTCCCTTGTTTTTAGTAGGACCTTAACTGTTATAACTTGTCAGTTGAATGCTACTTGTTATATCTGGTCGTCGCTGATTGTTGTATTGGAAACGCTTATCACTTATACTCGAAACCAGGGACCTCGGAAATTCTCATGACGCGAAAGCAAGAACACAAAAATTGTTATAAGTGAAAAATTTATTGACCCCAAAAGCACGATGACGACGACCCTAGTCGAAAATACATTCATTTATATATTGATTGTACTCATACTTTGACTAATAATTAGAAAGAAATCACATATATAAAAAATACTCAGTTGTGACAAATCAAATGCTGAGCATAGTTCATATCAATTGAATACAAGAACATCTGATGTTGTACAGAATATAATATCATACGGGAAAACAAAATAAATACTACACTGAATGATTATCACATTGAATCAGGACGGAAGTAATTTTGAACTAAACTCATAGTTAGTAAATCAATTGAATCTTGACTTTCTCGTCGCTGGGTTTTAGATGGACCCTAACATAACGTGTTTAATACATTTTCCATGATAATATCATGATATGTATTCATTTTAAGAATATTGTAATTCACTTTTGGAATATTCTCATTGAAACTTACTTTCATCATATTATATTCTCAAGTAGTCAAACATGTATACTCAAGTGGATAATAAAGACTTTAAAATTATGACAAATTTGGCGAGACTATAATTTATGGAGAAACCAATCGGATCTAAAATAACGGATCTTGGATTTTGAAGCGAAATTCATTCGCTCATTCGTTTAAATAACGTCTTGGGATTTTAGCTGATGTTAGTTCGTAATGAAAACCATAAATCTAAATCCTAACCCTTACCATCAACTGTAAATTATTATCTTTATTCCTAAAACTACTTTATAACTTTCATTTATCCCTATTATGTAGGTAGACACTCTCAAGATGACTTTGGCGTCACTCGAACGTCATCTATCGATTATAGTCTCACCGCAAAGTTTACTACAATATCACCGAATTCTAAACTAAACAATTCAATTTTAGAGCTTATATCGATATTTTAAAATTATCTAATAAATAGGATTTTCAATAGTTGAAATCATGTGTCAATTAAAGCTAGATCACCATGGAAAACCTGGAAGCACTGGAAGACCGTTTCAATCTAGTATGACACTCCTCGGCAGTGCGCATCCACGATCCCGCCACCCGCGAAATTCAAACCCAGAACTTATGTCTCGTTGGTGAGTGCTTAACCACTAGACCACTGAGCTGGCCAACAACAAAGGGCACACTATTGTCTTCAGTGGGCTGACATCTCACAACAGATCCGGTTGAACTCCACTCGTCACGGCTTCTCACTAAAACTCCAGGAAATTCCTCTTGAAGTCAGTCAGTTGTGAGCAGACGATTATTATCGGAGAGGATTTTGTGGAGATTTTAGTAATTTCCATAGTCGATGCGCACTGCTCAGGAGTCCCAAACTAGGATGAAACGGCCATTCAGTGTTTCCAAGTTTTCCATGATGGTCCAGCTTCAACCAACTCATGATTTCAACTATTGAAATTACTAAAATCTTCACAAAACCCATTTTGATAATAGGATTTTAACATATTGAATGAACTAATTATTTGACATATTAGTTCACTTCTAAAATTGTTAATTAATATACCCTAAGGTTAACCTTCAATACAATATGTAATTAAGCAATTGCTCATAGGATTAGAATGAATCATTTACTTAATCAAATTTCGAAAGTAAATAAAATTAGTAAGATCAATCTTAGAATATCAGTTAAATGAATTTGAAAAGATAAACCAACTGCTTAGAGCATAAAAAATTTGAATATAAATTAGGTAATTTAAGTAACCAATTATTTTTCAACAGTTGAGATCATGAGTCAGTTGAAGCTAGACCACCATGCAAAACCTGGAAGCACTGGACGGCCGTTTCGTCCTATTAAGGGACTCCTCAGCAGTGCGCATCCACGATCCCTCCCCTCCTCGCGAGATTCGAACCCAGGACCTATCAGTCTCGCGCCAGGCGCTCAACCAACTAGACGCTGAGCTGGCCGGCATCCAACGGTGTCAATGTCTAACTTCAACCAATCCACGAAATTCATTTAGAAAATCAATGGTAAACTTTATATCCTATTGGGATATTTGAATTTCTTTTATTTACATAATATAGAATACTTATAATTATATAAATTTATTATACTTATTTTGAAATGTATTCTTTATGTTCTAGTAAAACGGTAATGATTATTGGAGTTTAGGTATATCGTGAATGAAACCATAGTCATGGATATGTATAATTAATGTTCTTGATATATTATGGTGTGGGTTACTTATATCCACATAAGTAGTATATCACGGTGGTTAAGCATAGAATGTATTTCAGTAGAAGATCGATAAGGAAAGAACGAGAACGGAACGCAATTGATATGAAAATACATGAACTATGAAATGTGAGACAGTGGACTGATTTTTGTAACAGGAACAGTTTTGGTTGATATGATGGATTGATATTTAGCAAATTAACGATTTACTATATGGTTCTCAGATTTTATTGAAATGCTCGGTAATTTCGCGTCGAAGGTATTCAGTTGTCCCCACTCGTGTTTTTGTTCACTACTATGCGTCTAATTGGTTAGAGTCTCAAATATCTGTCTTCGGTTATCAATATGATGGTCTAGTGATTAAGATCTTACTGAAGGGACTGAGTTTGATCACTAGCGAGACTGTAAGTGCCCGTTCCTAAAGAGATCTACAGTTTGATGACGCAGTTGATCAGTGTCCCTGTTTTTCAGTGGTTTTTTAATTGGATATCATTCATCCATTTTGTTTTCCGAGTATCGTACGCTAAAGTTTTTACTTTCTCCTTGTATTATTTATAAATAATTCACCGGTTTTAAAGGAGTCACATTATAATTTACCAACTGGTTTACTGACATCAGATTCTGAGTAAAATTTAGGGTACAAACAGATATCACCGCAATATTTCATTTACGGTTTATCTTTCTATGGGTCTACGTGTTTTCAAGTATAACTTGAACAGGAAATCAATTGATAAATGAATGATTATATATAGCAATTTCACAAGTAAGTTTACACAAATATAAGTAGCATATACACACAATATGTTAGGTTACGAAACAACAAATATAGTTTCCTGCATGTGATATTTGATATTATAGATACACATTATAAAGTACTTACTTTAGACTGGGAAGACTTTCTGAAAGGTTTTTACGCCTGTAAATAAATAATGATCATCATAGAACATTAGTGATTCATAGGGGTAAAATTTTGCGTAATTATAAATATTGATAAGATATCATGACAAAGAAATATGCTTCATATAATAACCTATCACTCAGTCTGTGGATTGTTTTGCCATTGTGATTATCTCAAGATTCCTCATATATCTTGTTGATAAATGTCTACAAAGAGAAATCATCGATCAACCAATAGCATTTAAACAATCACTTAAACAACAAACATCTCAGCTCTGTTTGGGTTTGAATTACTGATGAATTATGAAACGTTCCAAGCCTTTAAATTACAATGGATATTTAATACTATCGGTAAAGACGAGGTATGGTGGCTACATTGTAACTTGGTCGATAGGATTCGATATACACTAATAAGGACTTTACACACATAACATTAATCACCACTCAGTGATCAATCAATTGTAAATATACTTCAGGAGGTTAGTCATGGCCCAGATTGGTCAGTGGCAACGTCTCTGATTGTGAAGCTGGGTGATATCAGGTCGAATCCGTCAGGGAGCATCAGTTCCCTCAAGATTACAGTTACACCTTGCTGACAAGTGCCAAATAGCACGAAACCTAAGTTCTGGGTTTCATGTTGACTACCTTCAACCACCATCTTAGTATGCGTATTCATTCACAAGACAATAATGGATTCTTCTACTCCATAACTAAACTATATACCTATTTCTAAATCAAAAGTGTAAATTGGGCTCTGATTCAGACTTTAATTTCAAAAAGTTCAGATTGGATATAAATGAGCTTTATCATCTTATTTTTATGAATAGCTCCCTGTTATCAGTAAACTTTCATTGATTAAATATGTATGGCAGATTGAAAAGTCACAATAAAAATGGAACAAATTAATGAATAACTTTTAAATGGGTGTATAAAAGAATAGAATCATAAAATAATTAACATTTTTAAATTGTTCGATTGTCTTTTATCAAAGTAAAGAAGAAGATAAACACTTGGTTACCATGGTTACCACCAACTAATAATTAAGTTTGGATGAATTAAATTAACGAAAGTTTCTTGACATAAAATAAATATGAATTGTTTCAAATTTAGTTTAATTAAATAATTTTGAATATAAATTTATTTTTATATGTAAGCGATTTTTCAAAAAATTCAATCAGGAAGATCTGACTTTTAAATAATTATACGGGATTATTTTTGTGATAGGATAGTTAGTCATTTATTAAAGATTAATGTAGATTAGATCAGAGCGCACTGCTGAGGAGTCCCAAACTAGGATAAAATTACCATGCAGTGCTAACAGGTTTTCCCTGGTGGTCTAGCTTCAATTGACTCATGAATTCGACTGTTAAAATACTATAATATCCACAAAATCCCTCTCTGATTATAATCATCATATCTTTACTAGTGACGGTCTCCAAGAGGTATTTCCTGGAGTTCTACTGAGAAACCGTAATCAGTGGGGTTTACCCGGGTCTGTTGTGAGATAGTAACTCACTGAAGAAAATGGTGGATGTGTCGCTCAGTTTGGTGTATTATTTGAAGTTAGACATTAACACCGTTGGACGCCGTCTAGCTCAGTGTCTGGTTGGTTAAGTGCCTGGCGCGAGACTGATAGGTCCTGGGTTCGAATCTCGAGATGCGGGACCTTGACTGCGCACTACTGAGGACTCCCACACTAGGTTGAAATGGCTGTTTATTGCTTCCAGGTTTTCCATAGTGGTCTAGTTTCAATTGGCTCAGCAATTCAACCATTAAATTACTATAAAATCCACAAAATCCCAAACTGATTATTTTAAATATGATAACAGGTTTCAGTTACTAATTAACTTAGCTAGGGGAATGAGTGAAAACAACAGAGAACTGAGGTGTTTTCAATGGGATATAATTTGAAACTGTGTTTGAAATATGTTCTGTATCATTATTTGTGAAACAAACAAATTGTCATTAATGTAACCAAGTTTTTAATCAAAAGTTTAATATGTTCTGTGTGATCACTTTTCTGGAAGTAAAGGATCCGATAAACAAATCACTTTGGTTGTTAATTACTTCAGCCAATATATTGTACAGTGATGAATACATTTATGTCTCCCGAAATCACCTTATATACTGAATGATTCCAAACAGAATTCTTAATCGCTTTGTCTCAAAGAAGTCATTAAACTACCACGTTTAAGCCAGAAATTTATCAACTAAATTTTGTCACCAAATGAATGATCAAACTGCATAATTGTCTTTATTTTCTGTCTTTTATTATTTTAAATGAGTACTTAGTCATAGGTGACCCAAACACATTATTTCCATTCCATAAACGTCTGGTTATTCTTTCTAATATCTAAAAGAATAAAAGTGTGCTAAACTTAAAAATTTCTAATTCCATGAAGACTTTAATATGATGAATTGACTGACTATATATAAAGCTTAATAGGTAGGAAGAAAAACTGCTAGCTACACCTTAACATATTTGTAAGTAATAGATGTAAAATCTGTGTATTATGGCACAGAAACTATAAACGTTTGCAGACTCATTGTAAAACAATCTAACAGGGAAAATCACGAAAACCAGTCTTATCAATATGTTATTAATCTGGATGTTGATTGCTTTTATTACTGTCATAAATCATTATCTGTTATATTTCATTTGTCAGGTAAATACCATTCTCTCGTGTTTTACTTCATTTTCAATAGGTACTTGAATAATTAGCGATTGATGACTACTTGGTTTCTAAAAAGATTACAGGGACATTAACATTTACATTAATTTTTTCTTTTTGAACTTTCGGACACAGTTTATTGTAATCTCTTTTGGGTTATTATCAATGCTCATATAGTTTTCTTCATTAAGTGCACATTGTTGACTTTGAACGTTTTTATATATGAGTGTGTGTTTGTATGTTTATCTGGATGACTGGTCATTCAATTGTATTTGATATATTCTATAAGTGATATAAAAGCGAACTCATACATAACTCGTTTATTGGCTAATGATGGTCAAATATCACACAACGAACATCTACTCATATTTACCATCTATTTACTTGCATAAGAAAGCCTGAAATTAGCTCTTCTATAACATTTCTTATTTGGTTTTTATGACCACCTAGTTCATTATATACAAAACTAAATGAGGGATTCATATTTCATTCATCATCATTGGGAATAATTGGGTCAACGCGAGGGCCGATAATACGTAAAGGTTTGATATATTTCAATTAGACAATAATAACCTTAGTAGGAATATGTTACATTGGACTGAAGTAAAGTCCTAATCAGAGACATTATACGATTTTTGTTCAGAAAAATTAATCTTCAGAAACTGAGAGATAGCCTATGATCTAGAGTTTGTACTCTAAATTATACTTCATCGGTGCATGTTTGTAAATTTAAGAGAACTGGCGTTCCTTTGTAAGATTCATATCGCAGTTGATTAGCTTCAGCTAATAATAGTCAATCTCTTATTCTATCTTACAGTAGATCAGATGCTGTCAATTCTATGAATATCATAAAATTTGTTATCAGTTTTAATTATAAAACAAGTTTAAGCTTCTTTTGAATTATTAAACTACCATGCTGATTGACCAGGGTTTTTTTGTTTAATTAAATACTAATGATAGATAGTTTTAGAAAAATAGTTTCTTTGATGTAATAATTAAATTTACTAACTATTACATAAAATGTTTCTTTTGTAAACTTTACGGCCAATGAATAATCCATTTTCTGTACGAAATATTTGATCAGTTCATTGATTATAGAATTTTATTTGTTTGTATTAATAAATAGGTGAGACTATAATTTATGGACGACCTTTGAGAGACGCTAAAAAAATCTTGAGAATGTCCATCTACATTACTCACTTACTTACGCCTGTTACTTTTCGTGTAGGAGCATAGGCCGCCCACCAGCACTCTCCATTCAACCCTATCCTGGGCAATCCTTTCCACTACTTTCTAGTCTTTATTCATCCTTTTCATATCTGATTCTATTTCTTTACGTCATGTATTCTTTGGCCTTCCTCTTTTCCGCCTCCCTTCAGGATTCCAAGTTAGGGCTTGCGTCGTGATGAAGTTTGACGATTTGCGTAAATTATGTCCTATCCATTTCCATCGTCTTTTCCTAATTTCCTCTTCAGCTGGAAGCTGGTTTGTTCTCTCCCACAAAAGGCTGTTGCTGATGGTATCCGGCCAACAGATGTTGAGTATCTTGCGTAGACAACCATTTATAAATACCTTTACCTTCTTGATGATGGTTGAAGTAGTTCTCCAAGTCCCAGCTCCATACAGTAGAACTGCCTTGACGTTCGTATTGAGGATTCTGACTTTGATATTGATTGATAATTGTTTTGAGTTCCATATATTCTTCAATTGTGGGAATGAGGCCCTTTCTTTGCCAATCCTCGTCTTTATGTCTGCATCTGAGCTTCCTTGTTCATTGATGATGTTTCCCAGATACGTGAGGGATTTCGCAACTTCCAGAGTTTCTCCGTCAAGTGTGATTGGGTTGGTGTTCTCCGTGTTGTATTTGAGGATCTTGCTTTTTCGTCCATCTACATACTACGGCTAAATGAGGGTTATAATCTGGTGTAAAGAATTAGGACTAATATTTACAGTTGATAGTTAGGGTTAGAAATCATACATAGGGTTTTAATCACCAATTAACATCAGTTATAATGCCAAAACTCTATTTAACCAAATGGGTAAGTGAATTTCGCATCAAAATTCAAGACCTATTATCATAAATCTGGTTGGTTCGTCCATAAATTTTAGTCTCGCCAATAATAAACAATACTCAAATATGTAGTTGATTAAATCGATTTATTGTAAATGATAATAGAAAATTATTTTGATGATTAGTTTCAATCATATCTAATATCCTTTTCTTTCCATGTTACCATAGGATAGATGAAAACTATTCATCCACTTTATCTCATAAATAGCGTAATCATGAATCTAATTTTATTCAATAGAATAAATAGTAATTAATTTACCATGCAAAGTGATCATGGTATACTGTACTGACTTCATGAATGTAATTAATTTGTCATGAAATGAGGAGAAAAAAGACTGAAGATATGATGTGGAATCTTTTTTTTTTTAAAAAAATCGATGCAAGCTAGAATATCCGCTAAACGAAAAAAGAGAGAAACTCTATCAAAAATATGACAATAAAATGATCATAATTTCAAATACAACATTCAAGGTGAGGCTGACAATCAGATATGTCATCGTACTTAGTGACATAATCTGTGTGAATGTTTTTGAATGGTCACCTCCCAGAGGTAATTTTTTTGAAAACTGTAAATAGTAATTTGTATTATGTCTATGTTTTTCAGATAAATTATTTATTCGTGTGAGACAAGGAATAAAATTTAACGAACAAGTCCACTGATTTCATGATTTTAAATTAAATAGTTTCTAACAGTATACCTATTGATTCCAGAATGAACTATATTGAACAAGTACATATATCAGAAATGGTTTTTTGTAAATATTTTAGTTATTGTAATAGTTGACATCATGAGTCAATTGAAACTAGACCACCATGGAATACCTGGAAGCACTGGAATCAGTGGTCAGTGGAGTTCAATCAGGTCTGTCGTGAGATAGTAACTCACTTATGACAATGGTGGATGTTCCGCTCAGTTTGGTGGATTAGTTGAAGTTGGATATTAACACTTTTGGACGCCGTCTCAGTAGCCTAAAGGCTAAGCGCTCGCGCGCGACACTGATAAATCCTGGGTTCGAATCTCGCGAGGTGGGATCGTGGATGCGCACCTCTGAGAAGTTCCATAATATGACGAAACGGCCGTCCAGTGCTTCCAGGTTTTCCACGGCGGTTTAACTTCAACTGACCCATGATCTAAAATATTAATATATATATATTTACAAAAAGGAGTAAGATAAATCTGAGGGCAATTAAAATTTTATAAAACAAAACTAACTGCATATATGATGTGATAAATTTGTTTAAATTTTTCGGATTAATTGAATGACGCAAGTTTTGACGAAAACTTTCAACAGCATTGCGTAACTCCACTTCACTCTCAGTTTCAACAACCTAAAAGAAACGAATAAAAAAAGTTTATCACAGTATAAAAAAGAATGTTAAACAAAATACTTATTTTATGATTATGAACACGATAGCATTCACAATGTTGTGCGTTTTTCTTTTTTTTTTAGCAATTATTAGTATTTTCAATGGTTAAGATCATGAGTCAGTTGAAGCTAGACCACCATGGAAAACCTGGAAGCACTGGACGGCCGTTTCGTCCCACCGTGGGACTCCTCAGCAGTGCGATCCACGACCTCGCCCCCTGCGAGATTCGAACCCAGGACCTACTGGTTTCGCGCCCGAGCACTTAACCACTAGACCACTGAGCACTGAGCCGGCATCCAACGGTGTTAATGTCTAACTTCAACTAATCCACGACATTGAGCGACACGTTCACCATTGTCTTCAGTGAGTTACTACCTCACAACAGACCTGGTTGAAAAAAAAAACCCATCTGATATTATTTATTAGTATGCTTAAGAAGTATGTTAAAGCCATAATTTTTAGCATTTAGAAGAGAATAGATAGGGGTACTGTCTTATAATAATTTGATATGAAAGACTGTATATTAGTATAGATTTTGTAGAGTTTGATTAGTATTACTTTTAGATCAAACTTACTGGATATGATTTATGAATAGTTTAACTAGTTCAATTAGTAAACATTTTAAACTCTAATGCATAATATCATTTTTGTTTAATACATTGAAGTTATAAGCTAACAAGTCACTGTCCTAATAGCATCATTCTTGTCTTTAAACCTTAATATCTTGGATGAAATCTTACGTAAGTAAACAATAATAAGAACGAAAAAACTATTGTATCACTCATTATTTTTTTATTTCTACTTTTGAAGATTTCATATCATTATGAAAAATACTGTATGATTAAAATGTACACATGAATATGATACATGTTTACATGTATCCAGGCAAATGTTGTTGTTCTTTTTTTGCACGAGTTACTGATGACCTAAATTTTTATCAAGAAAAAAATTTCTTTGCTTATTATAGTTCATTGATTCAATGAACTAAATTTTTGTAATCATTATTCAATGTAATTAGGTTAATGAGCTAATTTCATTAATTTATTAATATTGAAAAAGAAATATCAACAAAATAAATGAAAGTAAATAAGAGACTAATATTTGAATAAAGAATATTCTTTTCGATCAATTCTCTTCAGATTCTACAATTCACATATATCCAAATTAATAAACCGGAAAATGGTCAGATTAAGGGCAATGTACATCGTGAATTTAAGATAGAGATAAACAAAATACAATAGAATTGTTAATGTTAATATGACTCATAGAGAATGTTAACTTGAATTTGCATATATGTTAAGTGAATCGTAATTGCACTATTCTTTCTCTTATTGTTGGGGACGTTAGATCCCAAGAACTCACTTGGGAAAGGACCTAATTTTGTGATTTTATTTAGAAAATTTGAATTTCTTTGTTTTCGCGCCAAAGGCGCTCTTGTCACCTTCATGTCGTATTTCCCACTGGGAAATATCTTAAATGCTATTGCTCTGTTGTGTCTTTGAGTATGCTATTTGGTAACTCTCCCCAAGGACGGTTTTTTACTATATATATATATATATATATATATATATATATATATATCGCTCGTTTCTGGCTGTTTGCAGAATGTACTTCCCATTCCAAGCTTGGAATTCTCGCTCTAGTTAGCGGGGCTGGGACGCATTAATAGCTAGCTGACTGGTCTTTGGTTACCGAGTCTTGTTTCTCGTTCGCAGATTAAGTGAACTCGTGATGGCTTCAACCCTGGCACTTATCCTATCTGACCCATATTTATTCTGATCATGGATCTTAAAATTTTCACTTAACGTATATACAGATTTAAGTTAACATTCTATATGAGTCATATTAACATTAATAATTTTATTGTGTTTTGTTTAACAATCCTAAATTCACATGCTTTAAACAATGTAATTTACCCTTAACCTGGCCATTTTTTGGATTATTAATTTGGATTATATAATAGTAGAACCTGAAGAGAATTGATCGAAAAGAATATTCTTCATTCAAAGATTAGTCTTTTAAGGTGTTGGGTATCTTTAAACGATTAGAAAGTAAATAAATCGTTTGGAATAATTGTAAATAAGATAATAATAAATAATTAGTTCTTATTCTTTTCATTGGTAAAAAATAAACTTAGTTTCCAAGCTCGACAGTGTCTTTTTTTAATTGATATTCTAAACATGGTAATACCAACTTATTACCCATAGTAGTAATCACATTGTTCTTGTGTACTTTGATAATTTTCTTTCTTTATTACGGCTAACCTATAACCTGTCTGGTTGATCTTTTAATTTTCATATGAAATTGTCTTAACAAGTACATTGTGTGTGATCAGATTGTTCGAAATATATAACGCAAATATATATCACATAATTCTGATCATCTTCATCTTCTCATTGCATTATCGTGATATAAGGTTATACTTTAGTTAAACATTCCTTTGTGGTACAAAATGTTAATGAATAAATAATGTATAAATAAGTATTACCAGTAGTTAATTGTGAATGTAATCTTATTCAGAGACGAGGAGTATACGTACTGTTTCGCAGCTAGTCTCAGTGTTTTCACCGTAATCATTAATTTTGTATAGATTTTTATATATTTTTGGGGTTCCATATTTAGTTGTGGTTACGACTTTGTGCAAAGCCGTAAGCTTACATGACATAGTTGTTTTGATTTACATAAATTGTATCATGTGTACAACTCAGTGTTATGAAGTGTTGACCATGAATAAGGTGCTAAACGATGAAATAGATTGTGAAAGTTTTTTCCATAGTTTATATAACCTACTGATGTCAGAATAATACCTTATTGGTTTTCGTTGTTCTTTGAGTATAATTCATTTTGTGAAATAAACTATGAATCAACTAACTTCCATGAGTATTTCATTAGTTATTAGCTTAGTAATAAATATCTTATCAAGTTAGAAATAATGTAGTTGTATCCTGATACGTTTTGGTACTATTTATTAGTTAGTTGAGTATTGACAAGTCATTTTCATCAAGAAAAATCATTACATTAAACTATTTACATAATTAAATCTTCCCTCTGCTGCAAACAACCCAAACAGGGTGGTAAACAGTTTCTTTGTATTTTATAATCATAAATAATTTACTGTCATTTATCATAATCCAAAGAATTTTGTTCTAATTCATTCATTCAAATGTATCAACAAAATAAAGTGAATTGGTTTAAAGTAACTGTTAACATAAAAAATTTGACATAAAACTGTGCTAATATCTAACTTACCGAACCGAAACGATGTACAATTAGAAAACTTTCAGTGGCTGGATTCATACCAGATGAGCTTAATTTCCAGTTCATTAACTAAACAAAATAGTAGATATTGGAATAGATCCATATTAAATATATTAAGAGGAAAGAGTACGATCAGTCTTACCTCAAATCATTGCAATATTTATGTAAATATTTATTATTGTTTGTTTGAAGTTAGTCAATATGAAATCCAGGAACTTGATTTCTTCAAGTCTCGACGTTTAATTTTTAATATTTTATGACAACATATATAAGCGAACAATATTGTTTTCAATTAGATTGTCATCAGGCTTTACTCTAATATACTGTAATAAAAGGTAATGTCAAGACAATACGCAGCTCGGTTCTATCACAGTTGATCTATAGCGGTCATGTAGTGGATAGAAACAAGTCATTTTAAGTTATTTATCGTATTCCTATTAGTTCCCCTTATGGTGTTCGATCTCGTCTCTTACACATAGCAGAAGCTATAGGACTTCGAGCTAACAATCCAAGTCTTTGTGTTCAGATGAAATTTGTAACACCCTTATCTCTCCCTTGGTTTTAATAAATGAATTTATTTTCCATACTCTTTGTTCGTTTATTTTTCTTCACACCCTCCCACCTTTTTTTCTATCTCAGATATACGTTTTACGGTCTAATTATCTGAACACTCCTTATTACGTCATCTTATAATTTTATAAATGTTATCTCACTGTCTATGTTCTTCTAATCATTGACCTATTTCCGATTATGTTACATTGATTCAAACCTTTATTATTCTTATGACAACTAGTACACTTGTCATTACACTATCAATTTGTACTTTTCACTTATTCTTGTAGTCCATTCCATTGTTGCCATTGCCTCGTAGACTACCTTATTTGGTTTAATAATTTTGTATTTGCATATAAATATCACTGTATATTAAAGTAAAACCTGATAGGGATCTAATCATCTCCAATAAATGTCGATTATTTAGGAAATTTTATACATCTAGTTCTCTTAATCATTTAAAAAAAAAAGAAAGAACAAAGATTCTATTAGAATATTCAGACGAGAACCTACGAAATAAAATGAATTCATGCTATTCTTTTAGAATCTTTATTCTTGCTCTTTTCAAAATATGGTCTAATTATCTTTTACAATTAAACAATTCAATCTCTAATTACTTGATTATCAACAAAATTAATAACTAATTATTATTTAAACTCAATCATTTACCCTATTATGTCTTAACTATAACATAACTAATAAATTCGTTCAAGTCAACGTATAATAACTCTGCTTGGAGTCCCTCCGGGGGCTACTGCTGGTCCCAATTCCGGGTAAAGGAGGAGGGTCGGGCATGGAGTTAGCGACACCATCCCATAGAAAACTAACTCGCTAAAAAAACGCTAACCAAAATATAATGTATAATGTGATCACATTGACAAAATGTATTGTTTGATTACATCATCATGAAATAAGTTTAAATTATTGAAAAAGAAGTGTCTATAAATAAAATTCAAATTGATTTCTTGCTTAAAATGTTACTTGTCCATGAATAGAAAAAGAAAAATCTTCTTAATACATTATATCATACATTATTTCAACATTTTTATTTGTGTTTTCCAGTGTCTGGGGATATATTTCAAGAAGTTTCTATGGTTTTGTTAAACATCTGTTTGATATTTTTGTTTTTATGATGTTTTGTGATTTTCTGACAATTTTTATACTACTTAAACTATCATGTCATTAGATAAAAACTGATATAATTTTTTCTGAGATATAAACTGGCAGAAGGTTGAAAATTTCAACACGTAATCATCAACGTTTATAAGGTATGTGTGTGTGGGGGGGTTCACACCTATCGATGGAATACGAGGTTCATGTGTAGTTACAAAGTAGTGAGGATTTTCAAACTTAGACAGAGGCTAGTTTCATAGTATTTGGGCGCCGAGTTAATGTGAAACATTAAAGAGAAAGAATGTATTTGTAAAATCTCAGTGAATGAGTTTTGGAGTAAATCCAACGCTTCACCTGGCAATTTGGTCCAAGCTTTTTCAAAGATATTACCTTGGATTTACTTCAAAATTCATTCGCTGAGATTATACAAATTAAACAGAGACTGTTCTATATTTATAAATATAGCTTCACTCTTTAGTAATGATTATTTTCAAGATATTCAGGATTTGAAAAAAACCCAGCGAAATAGTAGTCTCTTTTACTTAACTAATGGTTGAGTTATACATTTTCAGAATTAATACAGATCTTGGCAATTTATTCAATAACACTAAGTAGCTCCTAAAATGATAGATATTTATAAAGTCTAATAAAGTATATAGTATGGATATTTAGTTTATCAATTACATTTCATCCATATGCATAGAATGATAACTATTACATCATATTTTATCTTTTAGTTGACATTTACTTATTATCTATTAATTGAAACATCTGATGTGTTGATGTTACTAGACTAAAATACACTGTTTTATTTTATTATTTCTTTTCAAATAAATATTTTGATAAAATAACCACATGCTTATGCAGTTTAGGAGGTATAAATTGTAGTGATTGTCGTATTTTGATTATAGGAAGAAAAAGGTCATTACGTAATAGAATTGTTCCTGATCTTAATTTATTTTTGAATTGTTTGTTTGAATCTTTACTGCATCCCATTGCTAGCCACCAACTATCTTTGGTTATAATGTCCTTGATCTGTTTGTATATTTAAAACAATTAGTTACTTTGATAAATTTCGATAATGCAATGAGAAGATGAAGATTATCAGGATTATGTCATATATATTTGCCCAATACATTTCGAACAATCTGATCACACATATATACTTGTTAAGACAATTTTATATGAAAATTAAAAGGTCAACAAGACGAATGAAAGACAAACTGTAACAAGGAAAATAATAATATTAAAGTACACAAAAGCATTGTGATTACCACTATGCATAATAAATCAGTATTATCAGGGTAGGTTAAGTGTAAGCATAAATTGTTCTTGAACGCATGAAGGGGGTTTCAGTTTCCGTATAGACAAGGCCTCAATACACTTTAATATATGTCCTTAAAGGCTTTTGTACAAAACTACAAATGATGACTTGATATCAACCTTATGACCAGTCTCAATCAAATGTTTCACAATGGAGGATGATGTCTGTCCATCCTATGATCTTATTTGATCATCGGAAGCCATTTGTTTCTGCAGCCATTTTGGTATGTCTTCCGCCACCTTTAAATGCAGATCACGATTGCTCCCCCCCCCTATGTACGTGTTACCGCACGTACATGTAAATTGATCGGCATAATGGGGTGTGGTACAATCACTTACGTGCTGTTTGGGTTTTTGGTGAAACATATACCTTGTCTTTTCGATAATGATAAGTTGGGCTGTATAAAATGTCCTGTTGATGGCTAATTTAGGTCTCCGTCTCAACATGAGACGATTTAAGTCGCCTTTAAATGGTACCATAATGTAAACTCCCTTTTTGTTTGCCAGAAGCGTCATAGGTCTAATCGTATTGCAACCCTTCCAGCGGTTTATGAACTTCAATGAATAACCATTATTCATTCACTTATCTGTCAAGAATTTCGTCTCTATTTCAATAATATCAATAGTACAAATATGAGTGATTCTATTGAATAAGCTCTTTATTAATCCATTTATGTAACGAATTTAGCAGTGACTATGGAAATTAATATATATATATATATATATATATATATATATATATATATATATATATATATATATATATATATATATATATATATATATATATATATATATTTATTCATTGTTGGATAGAGAATGCTGATGAGGAACCGATGTTCCTTCATGAGGGTTAACAAGTGTAACTTAATCAGTAACGTATATCGTAAACAAAAAAACATTAATTTCATTTAATAAAATCCAATTATCTTTTTTAAAATCTACACCTGGGTTTATTATTAATACTGATATCGAATATCAGGTCAAATATTTATCATATCAACCTGTACTATAATTTCTTACTGTTTTTACATTGAATATTAACAGCTATATTTTGATAAGGATCTTGTTATGATTGCTATTAATTGTATATATATCTTTCATTTATCTAATTATCAGTACTAATTAACCATCTGTTTATCAGTACAATGAATACTTTATCTTTTCCTTATTTATTTTATTATAAAACTAGGAAAATAGATTCAAATGCTAGGTAAACATGAAATTTCTTATCTAATTATAATTCCTTGAAAAAGCTTGGACTAGATTGCCAGGAGAAATGTTGAATTTACTTCAAATTGTTTCACTGAGATTTTACAAATATTTATTCTTCCTCTTTAATACATGATTAAATGTTATGTAATTAAAAAAATTATTTTACTAATAAACATTTATTCATCATAATGATGATATCAATGGGTATATCATTGAAAATCTAAGAGTTGAGAATTCTAATTCTGTTATAAACTGTAAACTAATGGTATTAGATCTTATTAGATATCAGTTTTTTTTTGTTGTTGAATGAAATTCGTTTATTTGTGTTGTCACAATAGTATTATTTCGTTATATGAATGTTAACTCTAAAACTGGCCCCTTCCCCTTCAAATCCCAATCCTGAATACATAGCCGTAACTGTGAATAATGTGAAGAATTTTCGAAATTAATTTAGGTCATTATATTGGGTTTAGAAAGCGGATAATCAGTATCTGTAAAGACGAATTTAAGTAAGCTTTTTTTTCAATTTAAGGTTAGGATAAACTATAGAAGATTTAAACAGGCTTGTTAAATTCATAAACTCTGCTTATCATTTACTTTGGCTCATCATGAACTTTTCACTTTCTAAAGCTGTTTTTGGTTGGCTGATCATGAGTCAAAGATTAATTGCGGTAATTTCAAGATCGTTTCTATACTATGTCGTTGCTTTGTATTTAAATATTAATGTAATTGTAAGTTTAACAACTGAAATATGATCTTTTTTGATGCTGTACAATAATGTGAATTCAAAACATCAAAGGTGTGAACACATTTTAAGTTTTTTACATTCCATTTTCTTATACAATAAAGTGAATTGAAATAATATTTTTACATACTTGAAAAAATTACTTGAATACCCAATATGTATTCAGAAAGTTATACAAACTTGAATATAAATTAATGGTATTATGGTGACTCTCCTACAATTAATTTTGCCAGTGTTGTTCGAACATTAACAATTTGTCTATTACTTTGTATTATTACAGTTACTATCATGTTTGTATAAACGTGCATGCTTGATCACATGTGACAACCTACCCACAGAATCCTCATTTTAACTTAGATGTTAATCGCTTAAATATTGCTTGATGAATCATGTATAAGTGCTTGAATCATATTAATTGCGTTGTCTTGATTTGCTTTGCCTCGATTCGATTCAGTTCGACTCTGAATCCGGCTCACGCGCATTATCCTCTTTGCTCCAATTCGCCCAAAGTGCTTGTAACTTTGTTATCTGTGTTCTGTTCAGTAATAAATTATAATTGCCACTTCATATTGAATTCTGAATTCATACACCGTTGGGATTTATTTAATAATAGTTGGCAAGTTGATTGATAAACGAAGCCTAAGAAATTATCTTGGAGCCAATCTACCACAGTTTACTTAATTCTGATTTGAAGTGCCTCTTACAATAACAATAAGATTCAAATTAAGAAACAAATTACAACTATATATTAGCTATGTTAGGGGTGATATCAAGTGGTTTGAAAACACATGAATATGAATAGCAAAAGGGTAACCAAAGTTATATAGAAAATAGTTTGAAAAAAATTCGATGAGTAAAACAACTTCATTACTTTTTCGATGATTAGTTAACTATCTGTTTTATTATAGACTTGTATATGCTAATCCAGTATAAAGACGATTGTATAGCTATAGTAAATTACATCGTAGGGGAGGAGTTTTGTTTTCATTCAATGTTTGGAAATATTATGGTTGCATCAATTTTAAAATTTTATCAGGATTAAGGTCTAGATAAATATGATATAGGTGATCAGTGAATTTGCATATTTCAGCCCTTATGTAAGATCACTTTGAATAGTTGAACGGTTATATTTACAATTGTAAAGCTGAGCGGTATAGATTGAAATCTATCGGGTATTATCAATTTCCCAAATATCACAGGTTTCTATTGATGGAAAGTGTCAACTAACATGAAACATAAGTTTAAGGTTTCATTCCAGCTGCCTTCGATTAAACAACATTGAAACTCCAGGACAGTGAAAACAACTAAAACAGCATCATGATATATGTACCTAATGCAATACAGTTGACTAATTAGTGAGGTGAATCAGGTTGTTCATTGTATTTAATTAAAAGGTCGAGACAAAACATGGATCTTTCTATTTTCTGTATGTTGACATGAACGTATAAAGTCTGGTTCCAGTTTAGTATCGAATGTATTGACACTGATACCAGCTGAAATTTGTTTCAATCCTTGAGTTGAAAATCATTTTGTGTTTCAGCCATACTCTTTTAAATAAACATAAAACAAGTCGAATTATAAATGATATTGTATTGAATATGAGTTTTAAATTTCATAGACATCTCTACGTGAATTGATGAATGTACTTTGAAATAAAATGGCTCTCTAGTTTCAATTTAAGTGAAATAATTGATCTTGATTTCAGTGTGATAATCGAGGTAATCAAGAACAGTTGAACACGTTTAAAGCTAGTAGAGATATACATGTTTACATAGATTTGTGATGATAATTTTGTCAAAACGTACCTTTTTTACGGATTATATAAAACGTATATCTTGTATTTCTATGTATATTGCCTGTATGATAATTATGTAACTAATTTTTTATCAATACTTAAGTGTTAGTAAACAAGACAGACCTAGTAACTCACTTCAATTGATAACAGATATTAAACATATCAGTATATTTTTGAGGGGAGTGGTAATCACACTTCATAATCAGGAATAGAAGAAAAGAAAATTTCTATAGAAATGAAAAGATAACCTAATCAACTCGAAAAAAAGGATTAAAATGTAAGACGAAAGGTAGAAAGAAATCTAGTTATTATTGGTTCTATAGATTTTCTGTAGATGTAGTCATTTGACAAGTAGATCATATCACAAAACCAACGTTAACTAGAAAAAATGTTGAGAAATTCTATAGAAAAAAACTAATGAATAGTTTGTCAGTTTTCATTTAAACAAATTTAAGGAATATTTACCTAATAGCTGTATGTAAAATTTGGTTTAAGAGCAATGTATCCGATTGTGAGAACAATACGATTGATTTCATGAGTGAAAATTTCAACGATTCATGCTCTTAACTTTAGTCAAGATGTGTAGTACATAACTCATTTATTATTTTTAATAAGTTTGTATTAGTTTCATGTTGATTAACATAACGGCTTTACGATAGAATAATGATGTCAGTCAAGACTGGTTTTATTTTTATTAGTTCACAAAATAACATTTTGTGCTGGAATGACTTTTGAAATTATTAAAACTTGACAAAATGTTGAACATCTCATGAAATATTTATTTTGATGACTGTCATCAATTTCATAGTCATTCTTTGTAACTTGAGGACCGAACTGTAAAAGTATACATTACCTTACTAAGAATAGATGGTAACAATCTAGATACTAGGTTGTAAACTAATTGATTTGCTTTTGTAAGTTTAGAACAGTTTATTTCACATCTAGTAACTGTGATATGAGACATTTTCATTGCATTTTAAAGATTATTTTAACTTGATTAATATTAGCTTCATGCAGATATACAAATTGTAAATAGATGTTTATTATTAAGCGGTAATATTAAATTCATGTAAGACACCTCCATAAATTTAGGTAGATATTTAATATTTCACCGTGAAAAATAATAGGATTACAAATAATGAACTGTGAAATATGCCGTTCACTCATTTAGTGAGCTGATCATCTTTTGGGGGTGTTTTTAAATGTTGAAAATAAACTCAATAACACAGTAAACTGTATATAATGTTGTGGGGTTGAAAAAAATCAGGGAAAACCGTATGTGAGATAGACTTCTATTATCCTTAGTACTGGCTTGCAAGATACATGTGTTATGAATTTATCACTAATCAGTTAATCAGTATAGTATCTGTCATTTCACAGTTATAATAGTAAATGTCCTCAACAGTAGTATATATTAGTAGAGTTTGTTAAGACTTTTAATGCTGAAGTTAATTTTTATCAAGAACTAGAACAAGTTAAATAACCACCATTGTAAAGATTTTCAAGAGGATAAATCATCTAATCCATGCTTTTTAATTGTTATCCATTTATTGTAGGTTCATTAAAAAAAATGAACTCAAAGCAGATCATTTACTACCAGTAAATGACAGGAAAAAAATTTTTTTCTACAGAGAAATTGTGTTATTAAAAAGTAGTCCTTTATTGTATTCTTATTTATTTTATTTTAATACATGAGTTTCAGTTCTAAACTGATTACTCACAAAATATAATAATAATAATAATATAAATAGTTACACACCTTGAGGATGTAGTTTATTCAACTGATGGTTCAGTTTTCAAATCTCCCTACTCTTGACATTTTTTCTCGTGTATATTATCTACTGATTATTGAATATGTGGTTCCATCGAATAATGATATTTTAATGTTAATTCTATACTCCGTTTTTTTACAGGTTTGTTTTTACAAAACTTTTGTGGCTTTATTCATCTTTAAATTACCTTTTTCTTTTTGCATGAAATAACAATGTTTTATGTTGTTTAAGTAAATATTTGTAAGTAAACATTTGTGCTTACACTTAACCTACCCTGGTGATACTGATTTATTATGCATAGTGGTGAAGATGTCACAGGTATTCGGAGTTTGACAACGCTTTAAGCAGTAACACCATCTAATATGAATCGTACACACCAAGTGAAATCAAAAGACAGAAGCGAGGAGGTTCGAATATGTATTTGATAGGCTATCGATATATCGAGGGTCGTCTGATCTAATCTGGCTAGCGATTGCAGGGCGTTGTTGAGCACGGCGTTCCCACTCGTGATCTGGCGCAGATGCATGACCAAGCGCCTTCAACAGGTGAGTTCATTAAAACTAATATGGTCAGCATCCAATGTCGAAAGCTTACAGAGCTGTTTATTTTTGGGATTTACTTACCGCTACAGTGGTAATCACATTGCTTTTGTGTACTTTAATATTATTATTTTCCTTGTTACAGTTTGTCTTTAATTCGTCTTGTTGACCTTTTAATTTTCATATAAAATTGTTTTAACAAGTATATATGTGTGATCAGATTGTTCGAAATGTATTGGGCAAATATATATGACATAATTCTGATAATCTTCATCTTTTCATTGCAAATACTGGATTATGTTGTTATTCATCAGAATGATGGTAATAGTTTAGTGATAATATTAAAATATACTTTAAATGAAGTCTACTTACCTTATCTCTAAGTGACTCAGTAAATGTAGGCGGTGTTCCAGTACAGTTAATTAATATTGCCCCAAGTACAAGATTATCATAAGCAATCTGAAGAAAAGTAAAAATCAACAAACAAAGGAATAAAAATGAGAACGAAAAGAAACAAATACTTGATAAGACAATAGTACAATTTTACCATTTATTTTCTGAAGAGGCAATTTATACCAAGCCACGAAACATCAGGTTATATATTATAGATATATTACTGTTAGTTTATTCAGATAAAAAAATTATTGAAAGCTAAACTTAATTTGAATTATAAAGTTGAACTTCGATAGTGGTGTTAAGAATCAAATAAATATTTAGCATAAATATAATATATGCATGTAATGAAAACAGCATATTTTAATATCTAGTTTTAATAAATAGTACATTGTTATATACATAAGTATATATGTATATGCGACTCCTCATGAGTGCTTGTCAAACACCCTACCATAGGTAATCAAACAAAGTACCTACAGTCTTGTGGCGAGAGTTTAACTTTTAAAGAACGGTGTACATCTAATGCCGATCAGCTTTCAGTATTGGGGCACATCTTCCATTGCCTCCAATGGATAACTTTCTCACATATGATTTGAATTAGCTCCACTGGTCACGGCTTCTCAAACTTGGTCACTGATGAGGATATGTTTACTGTTAGCATTAACGCCTTGTACATATTATCGAATTTTCATTGTTTATATGATGGACCTATCTTAGTTAGACAACCACTGAAAGCCATAAAGCAATAGGCAGCTGTTTTGTTCTAGAATGGGATGCTGAACTGATGAAAGGGTATACCTGTAAGCAGAATTACCATTGAAGCTATTCGGTTAAGCAATATTTCATGTTTTTAATATTCTGTTAAAATGTTGCTCAGTATCATATAAAAATTACCCTTCATCTATTATTTAAAATTAAATAAATAAATAAATTCTTTCCATTTATTCATTGAAGGTTGATAATTAGTATGTAGAATATTCCACTAATGTTGGGTAAGATCTTAGAAGACATTTTATTTTTTTAAATGTTGTAGTCATCATTCAGTTAGAGTATTTTAGTCCCCACAAAATTTAAAATTAGTTCAAGATAAGTTACAGTAAGCGAAGAGAACTAACATAGTTTTCTCATTCACAAATCAGAACCCTACATACAGAGGAAATACATTTAACCACTTCTGTTATCGTAGCCAACATCAGATCCATTAGGTCAATAACGATCGTGATGATAAAATGAATTAGTTTGACTAATATACATATAGTCTTCCCCTTATTGTATTTTCATAACTAAGGTTCATTTTATTCAAGTATAATCGTGAGTAATATTATACATATATCTTTGCATTGTTATTATTAAAATTAACATTATTATTCTTTCGAAAACAGGAGTACTTTGGTTGCCATTCCCCCTCCCCACCAACGCTTTATTATGTTTTATTGAATTCATTTCACTTCATAAATTATGTAGTCCTTGGGCGAACATTTAATCTGAATTGCAATTACACTATTATTTTTTGCGTGCTTTGATGGCTATATTTATTCCAATTTTCAATCTAGCGTTTTCAATCAATTTGTAAACATATTCAAGTTATTTTAATGGTTGAATTCATGAGTCAATCTAAGCTAGACCACCAGTGAAAACTTGAAGGCACTGGAAAATCGTTTTGTCCTAGTATGGGACTCCTCCGCAACACGCATTCACGATCCTGCATGCCGAACTCGAATACGAATATTAGACATTTCAATGTTACAAATTAATTTAGATTTGTAATTGTAGGACTTGGTGAGAATTTGCTAAAAAATATATTTTCCATCCAGTTTATATTTATTAAACCTTTGAATGACAATTTTTAAACAAACTTCACCTTGGATTTCATCGTTTTAGTTTCTTTTAATTGGTGTATTATATAATATAAAATTATTTAGTGGATCATCAAATCGACATTCAGCGCTATAGAATTGACGAACTGCTCCCTTTCGTAATCTTTCTAACAAATTACTTCCAGCGTTTATTATTCATTGGCGTAATTATTATGTAACGAACAGCGACACGAATACAAAATTACAGAGCATCTCAATAAAATCTGAGAACCATATAGTAAATCGTTAATTTGCAAAATATCAATCCATCATATCAACCAAAACTGTTCCTGTTGCAAATATCAATCCATTGTCTCACATTTCATAGTTCATGCATTTTCATATCAATTGCGTTCCGTTCTCGTTCTTTCCTTATCGATCTTCTACTGAAATACATTCTGTGCTTAACCACCGTGATATACTACTTATGTGGATATAAGTAACCCACACCACAATTATACAATATTAATTGTTAAATGAGAATAAATGATTGGTTTATTGTATCATTTTTTTAGACAAGAAATAAAACCTTTCATTCAATTCTCGAGCTTATTCATTACAATAATGATCAATGATTTGATCAATTAAAACAATCAGCAACTATAACAATGGTTATTTTACAAATGGAAGGTGTTTTATATTAATAAAAAAATGCTTTCAGTTTACTTTTGTGTAGATTTTAAATTATATAGGTTTATTGTATTGTTAATTGTATACCTTTTTAGGGGTTGGCTTTTTCTCTTGTCATTATCTATAATGTGAATTTATAGAACAAAACGACTTGAACACTATTTCATATAAATAAATGACATGAATTATTATCCGGAAAATTTGAACATCTATTGGATTATTATCAAAATCTAAATTGGTAGAATTGTTATCAAATCGATTTTCAGTGATCCTTGCTTCAATATTTATCAGTGTTACCATAAATTTTTCAATATAAAACAGTCACAGGTTTGTCTATTCTTTATTTAATTGTACATTTTGAGCTCCAGTATTTCTTCATACATAATTTTTCTTCAAACCGTTTTGAATCACATTTTTAATGTCTAGTATTTTCATTATCACAATAGTTCTATTCCTCTGACATTCACCATATTCACTTTATTTCATCGTGTTAATTTGGAATGGAAACTTGAACTAATGCACATTTATTTAATGCTCTACATTGGTTTTAAGAGACTGAAGTGAATTATTAAATTATAAAGAGGTATTCAATCACTGATGTAGAATTATTTTACTGAATACCTGAACGTGAACGAGAAATTATTGAACATATTTTGTTGATTTTAAAGGAAACTTTATAAAATTAATTCGACAAGAAATTCATCTTACCAAATATCATTTAGATTGACCATAATATTTAAAGCAATTAGTCCCTTAGATAAATTTCGATAATGTAATAAGAAGACAAAGATTATCATAGTTCTGATTATCTTTGTCTTCTTATTACGTTATCGAAATTGATCACAATATATTTGTTTGATACATACACGTTTTGGTTCGACAGTAATGTCCGAAGTTAAAAAGAAATTCGTATTGACTATTAACTAAAGTCTTTTTATTAAAATTATAGTAAACTCTTCTGCACATAACTTCTTTTTGGAATTATTTATGCATTCTAACCAAGTAAATTTTAAGATAAACAAAGAGGATATGAGCTGATAATGTGCAAGTCAAAAACTAATATGATTTCTACCCTACTCTCAAAATCTTATATCCTACTGAGTCATGGATTATCACAAGTCAAAGTTTAACCAGTAACTATAAAGAATATACTTTATGGAAAAATACTAGCGTTTTATTGATAGATTCTCTTTGAGGTGGTTATTAGCTAAACTCAAATAATTCCTACTTGAACAAATACCAGATTAAATGAATACACAACATATTTTATCAGTCTACAATCGAGCGATTACCATTTAGGAATTAATCCATAAACTAAATCCAAATCGTTTTCCAAATTATATGATTATTTAGGATTATTGCAAAAAATGGCATACAGAGATTTTATTTAAGTAGTCAGTTATAATACTTATAGAGTTTAGTGGAGCATAATGTATAGATTAAAGAAAACTGTTTGAATTTTTATTCTATTATGATTACATTGTATTATTCTTAATAATGCCCTTATTCAGTGTTATACTTTTGGTACAATATGGAATTCTCAGCACAAAATATTTCAACAAGTTTTTTTTAACAAAAAAAGGAAACCAGTAAAAGAAACTGATAACTGAATATATATATATATAAAATATATATATATATATATATAATCGGGCCTAAAGTGGAGCCCATGGCTATCCCGTCTATTTGTCTGTAATAAGTATTGTTGAAGACAAAATGGACATTCAGTGTACATCTTAAGAGCAGTTCCTTTAGACTATCTTCAGGTTAGTCGTTAGTTGATAGCTGCCAACAATACAAGAATAGTGAGGGTACCACAAATCACTTACAAACCAAGCAGCACCAAGACTCTTTAACAAAACCAAACAAAGATGTAACCTTGATCATAAGCAAGCCAGATAAAGGAGGAGGTATAGTTTTGATGCGCAAGAAGGATTACATTGAAAAAATGGAACCAATGCTTAGTGTTCCTAGCAAATTTTAAAAAAGTTACTAGTAATTATGACATCAATCATAAAGTAGAAAAACAATTGGCTAATTCTCTTAAGGATCTAAAGAAAAAGGGAATAATTACGACAAAGATTCATTATTCAATTAAGCCGACTAGATCATATACACCATGACTGTATGATCTGCGTAAAGTTCACAAATCGGGTCTTCCTATAAGCCCAGTTCTAGATATGTAAAATTCTCCTTGCCAAAAGATTGCAAAATGGCTAGTGCAAATCTTAGAGCCTTTGCACAAATGAGTTGTTGGAAAGAGTGTAAAAGATGTCTTCGACTTCACCACCAAAGTGTAAAATATGAATGCTAGTATGAAAAATATGATCTCACTGGATGTAGTATCTTTGTTTACCAACGTACCACTTATCAAGACTGTTGAGTTTATATGCAGGCATATATAAATACGTTAGGCAGGCAGACTATCTGGAATTAAATGTTAAGTTTCTTAGGACTTGAATCTGTACAACGTTTTAATCAGAAACATGCTTGAGAGTAAAAATTACTGACTAGGTCAGCTCTAACAACTTTTTCGACACATGGTATATTTACTTGATAAGGTGTTGAAGAGCTATT